GCCCATCACCCCTCCCTGCTCACCTGGGCTGATGGTGCCTCCATGCTCACCTGGGCCCATCACCCTTCCCTGCTCACCTGGGCTGATGGTGCCTCCATGCTCATCTGGGCCCATCACCCTCTCTGTTCACATGGGCTGACCATGCCTCCCTCTTCACCTGGGCTGATGGTGCTTCCCTGTTTATCTGGGCTGATAGTACTTCCCTGCTCACGTTGACTGACCACACCTTCCAGCTCTCTTTTTCTTTGCCTCAGTGGGCCTCCGTCACAGAGCTGTGGTGGCACCAAGGAAGAACAAATCTCCTTTCTCATTTTTGACGCTATGTTGTGGTGAAAATGGCATACATGTCAACTCATCTCAGCCACTCAAACCACAGGCACTAGAAAAACAGTTGAGAGTAAGATGTCTTGATGAGCTGGAGATGGGGTTGGATAGAGGCAGAAGCAAGTTCAGAGTGTATTGTGACGCACTAAAAAAAAAAAAAAACCAAACGAAAACAAAACGAACAATGTGCTTCGCAAATACAAAAAGGAGGAAACTCGTGTTGAAAGTTAATGGAAAATTTCAGGGTCAAAGAAGACAGTGAGTTAGAAAGAAGGCAGCAAAAGTGACCTTGCCGAATTCTGGGTGGATTATGTCACTTGAGTTTGCTACACAGCCGAGGGAGGGGACCCTCTTGCTCTAGTAACGTGCCCTCATTAGAAGGTGAGTCTTATGCTTTAAAAGCCTGGCTGGTCTGATTGCTTTATTAACTTGGTTACTCACTCAAACCACCTATTCTCAACACTAGCCAGCTGTACAGGTTACCAGCCAGCTCTGAGCCAAAGATACAGAGAAACCAGGGCGAAGCGGCAGGTTGCAGGAGGGCTCCATGGTGGGCTTGCTAAAATCACAGACTCACAACAGTGACCGTGCGCTCACTGTGAGGATTTCGGGGGCGCAATAACAGTACCCGGGCTCCCTGGGCATCCCACAGCACTGACCGCCAGATAGCAGAACCCAGTGGGAAATGGAGCCGGGAGCCATCGGTAGTGGCAGACACTCACCATTTCCCCAGCACAGGCGTGGGGTCCCCGCTCCCGGAGCCCCCCTTTCTCTGAGTGTCTGTTCCCATCTGCTCTCACTCTCCACGGCCTCTTCCTTCCTCCCTCTCTCTGCAGTTTTCCCCGAGTCCACGGCTCAGTCTTCCGCAGAGCTCCGTCTCGCTCCAGCCTCCCTTTGCACCGCTGACCCATCCTCCCTGGCTGCCACCACACCCTAACCTCTCAGGCTCCATCTGCAGCTCCCTAGTTCTTTCTCTGATTCCCGAGAAAAAACTCAGACGGCTCAATTTGTGTTTTCTTGCCAGTTGGATGTCAGGGGTCCCTGGCCCGTCTAAAGGTCGATTCCCATCCTTGCCATCCTCAGGAGAGGTGGGGTCTCACGGGATTTACAAGGTGGCCTTTTCAGCAGGGCCGAGGCCCAGCAGTCAGGGTGTGACTTACTTGCAAAGACAGGAGAGTGGGTTTCTAATTTCTGAAAACGTGGAAAAGAATCTCATGAGTTGGAGAATGAGTCCTTCATTTTTGTCTTTAGTTCCCTCACTCACAGGCTGGGTGACAATGGTAAGTCACTTCCTCTCCCCATAGAACGAGGGGTCTGAATAGATAATACTGCCGTTTGCCACACACCAGGTGCCACCCCACGTTCTACACACAAATTTGTCATTGAATCCCCAAGAGGGAGGTAGTATCATCAAATCCTGTTAAAGATGGGGAAACTGAGGCACAGAGCAGTTGAGTAACTTGGCCAAGGTCACACAGCTAGTAAGAGGCAGAGCAGGGATCTGAAGCCTGTCAGTATGGCTTCAGAATCCTTGCTCTTAACCATGTTTAATTCATGCTGCCATATTGCCATTCAAGCATCCCTCGGACCCCAGGGAAAAGTGGCAATGAGATAAATGAGGCTGGGGGGGCGGAGGAGGGGGTTAGCTCTGTTCTCCAGAACAGATCGGTCCTTTGTATCCAGCAGCGTGGCCAGCACTCTGCAGGAATGCTGCTGCCCTTGGCCTGTGCCCTCTCTGAAGGGCATGGGAAATGCTGGCCTGTCAGCGGGTATAAACTCAAAGGTTTCTCCCTCAGCTAATTTCAAGGACTGTTTACCCAAGCAGATGCAGGAGGATTAGGCAATCCATTGATCTGATGTGTTTGGTTTGGGCGTGAGTGAGCGTACTGCAGCTGTCGGAACAAATGAATCTCGTGGAGAAACACGGATGGATGCCCTCGCTAGCTCGGAGGGCCGAAGGGATGTGGCTCATGAGCTGGGAATCCGGGGTCAACCAGTGATTTAAGAATGAAGATAAGAACGTGCCTCTAGTCAGGATTCTCCATCCACACCCTATGTGGGGAGCCAGGCCATTTCCCAAGACGCCTGCTGAGCGCTGCCATCACTGCCTCAGTGGCTTGGGTCGATTGCTGAGACAGGCAGGAAATACCAAGCAGAGTCCAGCCAGGGTTTTCAGGGACGGTGATGCCCTCACCAGGTCCCAAAGCTCCTTGCCGGGAGCAAGGTTGCAGGAAGTGCCACCGTTCTGGAAAGCTTCCCCATCCTGCTTCTTCCTGCCTTGGGCTTTTGTCTTTCCTGTGGTGGCTCCTGCACAAAGGCTGCACTGTGTGGCCCTTCAAGTGAGTCTTCATAAGTTAGGACATTGAACAACCAAACCTGTGGGCTAAGTGGACATGGTAATGACACTGGAGGAGATCAGGAAAGTGCATGTCTCCTGGCCAAGTGACCCAAGTCAGAAAGGCGATTGTGGGGAAGGTGTTATTGTTTTAGTGGGCGTAGCAAAGGGTGGATCAGGCAGCCAGACTTGGTAAATTGTTATTTACAGTTTCTGAGCTTTTAAAAGAAGAGCATCCCCAGAATCGGTCCTGATTCCAGACCTTCAGCACCATGGTGGCTCTGGGAGCACTGCTGTCCCTGCTCCTCCTCGGGGCCCAGGCCCAGCACAGGTCCAAGTGGACCTACTCAGGTAAGCCCCTCACTGTGAGGAAGGTGACAGCGCAGCCTGGCATCTTGGGGTGGTGGGGCCGACCGCACACGATTGTGTGCGCTTCCTCTGTTGGGGTCTGCTCGTTGTGGGCTCAGCATCTCGGGGTGTTTGGAGAACAAGCTGAACTTAGAGCTCCATTAAGAAAAGAGGAAATAGTCTCTCCCTTCACAGGTCTGTGAGGTTCACCCAGGATGTCTTGACTTGCCCAGAAGCCAGGGACCTTTAGATAGCCTCCAGATGCCCTCTCTCGGCTGCCATGTCTTGCTGAGACCCAAATTTTATTACTGAAACCCGACTTTTAAAATGTGAAATTGAAAACCCTGGCATTTAGCATCGGTTCTGGCCCATGTGTGAGCCAAAGAAAGGAAGACTGCATCTGTGGGGTTTGGACGTGAAACACCCCTTCTGTGTGGCGGTGAAGAGAGCTCCTGCCCACGTCGCCTCTTTTCTGTACTGGCCTGAGGGATGGGGGCTCAGAGGATGCTCACAGCCGCTGCAGGAGCAAACATGGCGTCGAGCCTGCTCTCTGCACAGTCCCCCAGCTTCAGACATCGGGGGACGCGTACATTCAGGGTGGGTGTATGTCCTGTTAAATCAAGGGCAACGGAGTTAGGGACATGGTGGGGAGGCTCAGAAAGTCCAACTTCAGAGGGCAGAACGGCCAACTCTGACCAACGGCTCTGTTCTAGAGCAGAGGGATCCCACAGCCGGCCAGCGTCTCGGAGACCCTGGGGCTTCTGTTCCTCTGACCCATTGGGACTGGGGGTGGTTCAGAGGGTGAGGAAGAGAGAGAATTCCAACAGCACAGGTCTTGTCCTCCCTAGGCTCAGCCCAGCCTCTGAGACTGTGGGCCTTGGAAAGCCACCAGGGGCCCAGGAAGACATGGGGGCAGCTACTGCAAATGCCTTTCAGGAATACTTGAGAAACCGCCCCCAACACTCTTGGGGCAGGGACCAAAGCCTTTTGATCCATGAAGGGGCTGGGCTCGAGACCTCAGGGCTTGATCCTGGCATCCTGCCTCTAGGAAATAATTGTTTAAAAATTGGGTTGTAGTATTAGAGAAGAGCAGAGAAACAAAGAATTGACTTTTCCATTGGTTGCAAAACCAAGAAGGTGTGAGACACCCCAGTATAAACATCTTCCTTAAAGCAAACTCTGCACTCACCATGCAGACTACCCCCCCACCGCCCCAAGAGGAAAGAGCTCAGAGTCCCAGCTGCTGATGGTGAGACCAGGACCCATAGTGTTGGGAAGCCCAGTCCCCCCCGATTAATGACTTGCTTTCATCACTCTGTCCCCTATGATTAGTAACCACCTTAAAAACAGATAGATTTCCTTACTTTGATATTTCCTTAACTAATCATTCTAGGTCATCTTTGAATCAGATGCTTCCTTTCTTGTCCTGAATCTGTAGGTGTAGGCGCCCAGTGGGCCTTACCACACTGGGGACGGATGAAAGGGGTGAAGCGAGAAAATAGGTGGGAGGTCCTGCCCCAGGGGGCTGAGGAGGCCGTCTTATTGTTGGGGGCTGAGAAGGAGAATTGTGCCAGTCAGAGGAAACAGGAAAGGCCCCGAGGGTAACACAGTAAGGCCAAGCACAGGGACAGTAATTCACAGGCAAAACTAAAGCTGCATATTAAAGACTTGCACCACTTTCAAAACACTAAGTCACGTTCTCAGGGCCAGAGGTTGCAACAGGAAAGTCAGGAATTGGCACCAAAGCCCCCCAGCCACCGGGGTCCGTGGAGTTGATTTAAATGCCCCTCCCGCCTCCTTCTGGAGACCTTGCTTCTGCTTTTTAGAAGGCAGACGTCTGGCCTTGATCCTGGCAGCCCGCCTGGCCCCTGCGGGCCTCCCACTGGGCAGGGCCTGCTGGGAGCTGCAGCCTCTGGCCTCTGCCTTGAGTGAGGCGCCCGCAGGGAGGGCTTGGCCAGGCAGCCCCTCAAACTGCGACCACCTGGGCTCTCTCCTATCTCAGAGGGGGCGCTGGATGAAGCGCACTGGTCGACCGAGTACCCCACCTGCGGGGGGCAGAGACAGTCGCCCATCAACCTGCAGAGGAAGAAGGTGCAGTACAACCCCTCCCTGACGGCTCTGACCCTGGTGGGCTACGACGACCAGGAGAGCGAGTTCCCCATGACCAACAACGGCCACACAGGTAAGGGGTGGGCGCCAGGCTCCAGTCCACGGGGGTCAGCAGGGGAAGGCAGGTGACAGCTGCCAGGAGCAGGACGCACAGAGATCCAGAGTGCAGCCTGGGCTCTGGAGGCCTCAGACGTGAGGGCTGACAGGCGTTGAAACTGGGCGGCTCTTCCAAAGTTGCGCAGCATCTGTCTTTAGACTCAATTCCCAGCTGGCCCCTTCATTCCGCTTTAGCCTCTGCCCAAGCTCACTCGGACACAGCCAGCAGGAAATTCAAGGACAGACAGGTGATGCTGCTGAAGCCACGCGTGCCCCGTGTGCTCCGTTGATCTGTGCCCTGATTTCCCATGTTTTCTGTAGAGTCTGATTAGCTCAAAGCACCCAACAGGCAGGACCAGCATTTCTCAGAGGTTTAAAAAGAAGCTCTTGTTTTCCGTTCCCTCCTAGAAAGGGGGTGAAGGTCAGACAGGAAAAGCTGGGTCTTGACCCCCATTCCAGAAGCCTGGACTGGACAACTGTAAATTCGTGCTTTATGTCTGCAGAACATCCTTCTGATTATCCGTGGGCTCATCTCCTCTGAGCCTCATGACAACCCCAGGAGGGGGCATTTTTTAGGCTGGAAACCAGAGACCTTGGGTGGCCAAGGGACTTACTCAAGGCCACACAGTCTCTCGTGGCCAAGCCAGACCCCGACCCTGGATGTCTGATTTCTTGGCCATGTCCTCCTCTCCCACTCTGGCCCGCAGTGGGTCAGTTTATTGTCCACCCACATAGGTGTCGGGGGGGGGGTCACAGGACTTAGATTTCCTTTTGGCACAATTGAGAAAATAAAACCAATTGCCCTTCATGGAGCTGGTGAACGTAGCACATTGCAGAATGATGGAAGATCTGTAAAATCCTCAGGACACGTGGCCTGGATCACTAAACTCCACAAATAATTCACAAAAGCCTCATTTATCATTAGTGTCAAGCTCCTGTTTCCAAAGTTAGTTTCTGAAGCTTCCAGGGGGCTGGCAGTTTGGAGCTTCTCCCCTTTCCTTGCCCTTGGTGGAGAGGGGCTGATGCCAAAGGGCCCAAGGCTGCAGCTAACTGCAGGAGGGAAGCTTGGCTGACCCCACCAGGACAGGTGGCCAGGACTGACAGATGATTGACAACCCCTGTGGGTTTGCGGGCTGAGTTTCTGCTGCCTGCCTCTGCATGGAGGGCTTTGTGCTGAGGAACCAGGAGAGGGGAGGTGTTAGGAAGACCCCAGCTTCCCAGGGGGCTTGCAGTAGCTGCCTCTGCCCACTCTGTGGAGTGCCCTGGACCTTCCTCATAGAGGACTGTGCTGGCATTTCTGGAGGCCAGAAGCTTGTTCCTTTAGGGTCCCCAACCCACCCTACAGCATCTTAAACATATTAGAATGCACTCACAGCTCACATTATTAATATTTTTTGATGTATTTTGAAAGATTTTTATAATTTAGCTTTTGAGATTATTTGGCTATATTCTTTACAATTGCCTATACCTTTCCAGCAAGCTCTGAGCACATTCAAGAATTCTACTGAAGGGAAAAAAAAAAGTGCTAATCTACAAATTTTCAAATCTAATGAAATTTTGATCAATACTGTTTAACAAAAAAGTTGACATGATGTAACTAAACATTTATTAATTTTGATCTTACAGGGTTTTTTTTTATATCTTGGAACCTAGGATATATATATATTTATATGTGTATGTTTAGTAGACTTCATTTTTTAGAGCAGTTTTAGCAGTCATAGCAAAATTGAGCGAAAAGTACAGAGATTTCTCGTATACCTCCTGCCCCACTACATGCATAGCCTCCCACATTATCAACATCACTCACCTGAGTGGTACACTTTTTACCAAGGATGAACCTACATTGACACATCATAATCACCCAAAGTCCATAGTTTACCTTAGGGTTCACTCTTGGTGTTGGACATTCTATGGGTTTGGACAAGTGTATAATGACGTGTATTCATCATTATAAGAGCATACAGAGTATTTGCACTGTCCTAATTATCCTCTGTACTCTGCCTGTTCATCCCTTCCCACCCCCTAAACCCCTAGCAACCACTGATCTTTTCACTGTCTCCATAGTTTTACCTTTTCCAGAATGTCATATAGCTGGAATCATACAGTATGCAGCCTTTCACATTGGCTTCTTTCACTTAGTAATATGCATTTAAGATTCCTCCATGTCTTTTCATGACTTGACTGCTCATTTCTTTTTAGTGTTGAATAATATTCCATTGCCTGGATGTACCACAGTTTATTTATCCATTCACCCACTAAAAGACATCTTGGCTGCTTCCAAGTTTCAGCAATTATGAATACAGCTGCTATAAACATCCATGTGCAGATTTTTGTGTGGACATAAGTTTTCAACTCCATTCGGTAAATACCAAGGAACGTGATTGCTGGATTGTGTGGTAAAAGTATGTTTAATTTTGTAAGAAACTGCCAAACGGTCTCCCAAAGTGGCTGCACCACGTTGCGTTCCACCAGCAATGAATGCGAGTCCCTTTTGCTCCACACCCTCCCCAGCCTTTGATGGTGTCAGTGCTCCGGATTTTGGCCATTGTCATAGGTGTGTAGTTGTATCTCACTGTTGTTTTAATTTGCATTTCCCTGATGACATACGATATGGAGCATCTTTTCAAAGGCTTATTTTCCATCTGTATATCTTGTAGGATGAGGTGTCTGTTAAGGTCTTTGGCCCATTTTTTAATTGGGTTGTTTGTTTTTTTATTGTTGAGTTTTAAGAGTTCTTTGTATATTTTGGATAGCAGTTCCTTATCAGATGTATCTTTTGCGAGTATTTTCTCCCAGTCTGTGGCTTGTCTTCTAAATTCTCTTGATATTGTCTTTTGCAGAACAGAAGTTTTTAATTTTAATGAAGTCCAGCTTATCAATTATTTCTTTCATGGATTGTGTCTTTGATGTATCTAAAAGGCATCAACATACCCAAGGTCATCTAGGTTTTCTCTTATGTTATCTCTTAGGAATTTTATAGTTTTGCATTTTACATTTAGGTCTGTGATCCATTTTGAGTTACTTTTGGGGAAGGGTGTAAGGTCTGTGTCTAGATTCATTTTTTTGCACGTGGATGTCCAGTTGTGCCAGCATTGTTTGTTGAAGAGACTCCATTGTATTGCCTTTGCTCCTTTGTTAAAGTTGAGTGTATTTATGGGGGTCTATTTCTGGGCTCTCTATTCTGTTCCATTGATCTATTTTCTATTCTTTCACCAATACCACACTGCCTTGATTACTATTAGTTAAGTCTTGAAGTTGGGTAAGATCAGTCCTCCAAATTGGTTTTTCACCTTCAACATTGTGTTGGCTATTCTGGGTCTTTTGCCTCTCCGTATAAACTTCAGAATCAGTTTGTTGATAGCCACAAAATAACTTGTTGGGATTTTGATTGGGATTGCATTGAATCTATAGATCAAGTTGAGAAGAACTGACATCTTGACTATATCAAATCTTCTTATCCAGGAACATGGAATATCTCAACATTCATTTAGTTTTTCTTTGATTTCTTTCATCACAGTTTTGTAGTTTTCCTCATATAGATCTTGTACATGTTTTGTTAGATTTATACGTAGATATTTTTGGGGTTCTAATGTAAATGGTATTTTGTTTTTAATTTCAAATTCTACTTTATATTTTTATGTGCCCCAATTTTTATTACTAGATTCAACAGACATAAAATTACATTTCAATAAGAAGAAATTGAAAACACACTTGGATGTTGAGACAAATTTAAATTGCTACAAAAGTTTCTAAAACTTTTTCTCAATTTCTCTATTTTGTTGTAGGCTAGTAACAGTTGGTGGACCAGTAATTATTTTTTAATATATATATTTTTTCATTTCCCAAACTACATATTCATAGGCTCCAGGAAAGCTTAAAGGCCTGAGGTACTGGGCTTCTAGTGTTCAGTGGGAAAAACAACACTGTTCTCTTAACAGGTGCTATCAGCAACTTTGTTAGGCTCCTTGAAAGGAGGGACGATCTCTCATTCATCTTTCTATTCTGGAACATAGATTAGATGCATTTGAGGGGAAAAGACTCGTACATGAAAGGATAAATCCCCAAATAGATGCCCATGAGTGATGCAGGATTCTGAGCAGGTTTTGATTTTTGAAGGCTGTAGGAGCAAGCTGGTTTTGTCTTTTTTTTTTTTTAAAGATTTTATTTATTTATTTATTTTCCCCCCAAAGCCCCAGTAGATAGTTGTATGTCATAGCTGTACATCCTTCTAGCTGCTGCATGTGGGACACGGACTCAGCATGGCCGGAGAAGCGGTGTGTCGGTGCGCGCCTGGGTTCCGAACCCCGGGCCGCCAGCAGCGGAGCGCACGCACCTAACCGCTAAGCCACGGGGCCGGCCCTTGTCTTTTTTTTTTTAACTTTTATTTTGAGATAGTTTTAGACTAGAAAAATTGCAAAATAGTAAGAGAATTCCCATATACCCTTCTCCCACTTCCCTTAATAGTAACATCTTACAACCATACTACGTTGATATGGTTAACTGCTCTGTAGACCTCATTTGAATTTCATCCCTTTCCCATTAATGTCCTTTGTCTGGTCCGAGATCTCATCTAGGATGCCACGTTGCATTAAGTCATCGTATCTCCTTAGTCTCCTCCATTTGGGGGCAGTTCCTCAGTTTTTCTTTGACTTTGACAACCTTGACACTTTGCTGTTGTTTCTTGAGCACAGAAAATGCTCAGATCACGTGGATTTTTTGGTTTGATAAGAACTTGGTTAAATTAGTTTCAAACAAGGGGGAGGACCTTCTTCTGGAAATTACATCAATTTTCAGAATCTGGAAGGTTCAGCAGGTTGATTTTTGGAGACAGATATTTGGCCTCACCTTTTCGAAAGCACAGAGACAAGCTCAGAATTGTTACCATTTTTCAATCTGGCCTGTGCAGTCCTGTTGATAAAACTTGAGAATTGAGACATTCTGTCTGCAGGTAATTGTGTTGTGGGGAAACGTGCTTGTCAGGATCTCTGGTTTTGCTCATGTGGTGCTATCTGTCAATTTAGAAAGCTCTGGCCTGGTCCTCAGCTCTCCATTCTCTTGGCACAGATGACTGCACATCTCCTTCTAAAGGCTCTTCGGTTTTTTTCACACGAGCATTGATTTGGAGGCTGGCCACATTTTAAACACTAATACAAAGCACCTGTTCTGCCAAAGGGCATGTTAAAATCTTTGAGGCCGGATTCCTGCCTTACAGCGTATTACGTTATGAATTTAATCACAGCTCCCTGCTGCTTTAGACAATTGGGAAGGGAAGAAGGGGACATTTGACAGATATCAAATACCTAATATTTGCTCTTTAAGAAAACTTACTTGTTTATAATCATCTTTGAAGACTTTAAATAGACTTTGCTAACAGGTCAGATGCCACCTGTCCCTTTGCAAGTCCTAAATTGTATCCTCAGAGGTATTTTTCTTAGTCACTCTCTGATGTCACTCTCCATAACTTTCTTTTGTCTGGCTAATTCCAAAATATCGAGATTACTCTAAGGCCTGCGCCAGTGAAATGAACTACTGCAGTTGTGTGACTGGAGACTTCTCTGTAGGAAGTCTGTAGGGCCTGAGGCAGGAGAAAGCTGGAAGAGTGATCCATTTTCTCCTCAGCAAGAACTTAACATTTGAATACGTCCATTGATAATCACATCAGATTAAACCCCTAGCCGAGAGTCCGTGTGTTCCCTCACTTGCTGCGGAATCTGGTCTCTTGTCTTCTGAAGACAAGTTGAGGCCTGTAATGGTGACATCCCGTCCTGTCTACACCCAGTTCTGGCCCAGCTCTGCCCCGACTCGTGAACCGTGTGACTCTGATAAGTCTTTCCACCTCCCTGGGTTGGCTTCTTTGTCCATAAAATGAAAGCGTTGAAGCTCCACTGGAAGGCTCCCTTACAGAGAGTGGAGTGGGTTGTTAGTTGGGCTAGTTCTAGAAGGCTACGTGGGCTGAGGATTTTAACCACGTCACAAAGAAGATAACCTCAACTTGGCCTTACAAACAGTACTCACTCTGGGGAGTAAAAGTAATTAAAATTGTCCCAAGAGGCCCCGCTTCTTAATCCTACATCATGGGCAAATTCCAAAATTAGCCAGATGTGGAGAGTGCAATTCTGGTTTCCACACCCATTGGCCATATCTTTTCAGGGCATCCCCCTTTCCAACAAGCTGGATCTGCCACCTCGTGGTGGCGCCCCTGACCTTCTGTTTCTGGTGGGACTGTGTGTGTGCGTGGGAGAGGCACCTGCCCCACCCAGCTTACTCAGTGCCTGGTCCTCATCCTGTCCTGTGCCAGTCGCTTCCTCCCCACTGGAAACCCTGCTCATGGCATTCTAAGCCAGTCTATAGGACCAGCTTGCCCCCCAGAGTGGGCAGGTGACGAGGGAAGCTGCCTAACCAGTAGGCCTGACCCATCCACACTCACTTGCCCTACTCTCTGCCCCCGTCTTCTCTTCCAGTGCAGATCAGCCTGCCCCACACCATGTACATGACGGCCCCTGATGGCACCAAGTACATAGCGGAGCAGATGCACTTCCACTGGGGCGGCGCGTCCTCGGAGATCAGTGGCTCTGAGCACACCATTGACGGGATCAGATATGCGACTGAGGTACCTTGGGGACCCTGACCAGGTCCTCTTTCCTTCAAACCCCATAGTCACTTTTTTTTTTATTAAAACAGCCAAAAAGACTTTGTGCAATGGTGACAGTCAAGTCACCCTGAGGTTGAGTTTATTTTTTATTCATTCACAACTATTCACTGATCACTGCCATGTGCTGGGGCTTCAGGCCGAGTTCCCGCCCTCCCAGAAGTCACAGTGAGGCAGGAGTTTATAGCCTACACAGTGGGGCAAGCCCTCTTCAGTTTCAGCTGGATTTCTATGTGTTAGATTTTCTGGGTTCCCTCTCTTGCTTAGATCTGTCCTTAGGGTGACCACAGGTATATAGTGGTTTATAGGGGCAAGGGGGGTTCATGCCCACACTACAGAGACCTCAGGAGAACTCAGTGGCCTCCCTCTAGATTCTGCCAGCATGTCTGCCTGGAGGGAGGTGGGGTCAGGGAAATGCCCTTGAATTGCCATCTTTCCAGAATCCCACTTGTGCTTTTTCCATTCTTGGAGAACTTTCTGGTCTTGATAGTTCTCCTAGCCTAGATGGAAGGAGATGGAGGTCGGAGTTGTTTGTGGAAGACAGTCTGAGGCCTGGATGGAACATTTTTCCTTCTTTTCTTCCTTTCCTGAAAACCTGAAGCATTTGAAGTCTGTATCAACTGCCCCTGACTTACTCTTTCTTGCTCCCACAGATTCACGTTGTTCACTACAATTCTAAATACGAGAGCTATGATATAGCCCAGAATGAACCAGATGGTTTGGCTGTGCTGGCAGCCCTCACTGAGGTAGGCTGAAACTATGCATGTGAAGTTATAGGTTGGTGTCCAAACAAGGTGTTAAGTATAAATGAAAGCTCTTCCTTCCTGTCCCTCCTCATCTGTTCCTGAGCTCGCAATTCTTGGAAACACTGACTCAATGGAAGATATACCCTTTATCCAGCCCTTGCTCACAGTCACCTTGTTCCTTCTGTGTTATCAACCTCTAGGACCTTGGATAACTTGCACAAGCTACTTAAAACAGCTGGGATCACCGAGGGTTGACTGGATATAAACTGGTCTGAGGGCAAGGGGAAGCCTGCAACCTGCCAGACAAAGGCAACACCTCTGCCATTCTAAGAAAGTCTGGAGGGTGGGACTTATGGGTAGGTAGGAAGAAGTGGTCAGTGAATCCACTCCCTCCCAAAACAAGTATTAAATTGGATAAAATTGCCACAAACAACTATATCAGTGCTCTGGGAATGGACCAAAGGCAAATAATGATTAAGGCATTTATTTGTGAGAAATGGCTAGAATTTTGAGTAAGAATAATGGGAGTCTGTGGACTTCTTGCCTGGGGATGTTCCCATCTCCACCACCTAACATGGTCAGCAATGTAGGTTTATCAGGGCAGAGTGGACAGGAAAACCAGCAGCTTCACTGCCTGTCTTGAGGAACTGTCTTGATTTGGGATGTAAATTGAAAACCAGGCCCAGGGGCACTGTCAGTAAAAGTAGCAAACTTGACATAAAAGACAGAAAACAAAGAGAGAAAACGTGAGCTCTGATAGTCTGAGGTTGCAGTCCCAATGGGGCGAGTGGCAAGTGGCAGACCAATGAGAAATTTAACAGCAAGATCCTGGAAATGAGAAGGCCACAGTGGGCTATGTAAACTTCCCAAGAGGTGGAAAGTAAAAGCTGAGGCCGAGTTGACAACTGGCCAAATTTTGATCCATCAGCTGAGGGTGTAAATCTCATGGGGTTGAGGGGTTTAAGCACAACCTCTGCTAAAATCATTGGCTGACCACAAATTTATGCTGACCCTAGGTGGTCTCTAGGAATCCAGGCTAAAAAATAAAACAAAGACTTAAGAACTGAGCAGAGACATCAGTTTTTGCACACTGCTGGGGAGACATATCCTGCGGATAAAGTCCAGCCAAGTTCCTAAACAGACATACGAACAAGAAAATCCCTCAGGACAATTTTAAAAAATCATAATTCAGATCTGCTACTATGTATTATATAAAATGTCCAGTTTTCAACAAAAAGTTGGGCATACAAAGAAATAGGAAAATATCCATATTTAGGAGAAAATAAAACAGTCAATAGAAACTGACTCTGAGTGGACCCAGAGTGATTTAGCAGACAGTACCTTAGAAACAACTATCATAAATATGTTCAAAGAATGAAAAGAAACTGTTAAAAGAATTAAAGGAAAATATGATGACAATGATTCAAAAAAGGAAATCTCAATAGAGAAACAGAAACAATAAAAATGCACCAAAATGGAAAGTCGAGAGTTGAAAAATAGAATGAACAAGATGAAAAATACACTACATGGGCTCAAAGCATATTTGAAGCAGCAGAAGAAAGAATCAGTGCATTTGAATATAGAGCAAAGAAATTATTCAATCTGAAGAACAAAGAAAAAAGATTGAAGAAAAATGAACAGAGCCTTAGACTCATGGGGACAAGATCACACATCCTGAAATATATGTAATGGGAGTCCCAGAAGGAGAGGAGAGAGAGAAAGTGGCAGAAAAAATGTTGAAGAAACAATGGCCAAAATTTCCCAAATTTGATGAAAAACATTCCTTTACCAGTCCAAGAAACTCAACAAACCCGAAGTCTGATAAACACCTAGGCACATCAAAGGCAAACTGCTGAAAGCAACAAGAGAAAAAGGATTCATTACACGTAGGGGAATGACAGTACAATTAATGGCTGACTTCTCATTAGAAACAAGTCATCAGAAGGCAGTGGAATGACTGTGAACTAGAAATTCTACATCCAACTAAACCACCCTTCAAAAATGAGGCAAAATAAAGACATTCCCAGATAAAAAAAAAACCAAGATAATTGCTAGCAGATGTGTCTTAGAAGAAATATTAAAGGAAGTCCTTCTGGCTGAAAGGAAATGATACCAGATGGTAACTCAAATGCACAGAAAGAATTGACGAGTGCTGGAAATGGTAACTATAGAAGACTATATTCATGTATTTTTGGTCTTTTCTTCTTTTAATTTCTTTAAGAAAATCCCATAAGATTGTTTAAAGCAGTAATGATACCACTGTGTTGTTGGGTTTATAATGTATGTAGATGTAATAGATAAGAAAAATAGAAGAAAGAGTAGGGAAGAAATAGAGCTATACTGGAGCAACGTTGCTATATTTTCCTGGAATTAGGTTAACATTAACCTGATGTAGATTGTGATAAGTTAAGTTGTATATTGTAATCACTAGAGCACCAGTAATAACTGAAAGTGATTAAATGGTACACTAAAAGTATTTGTTAAACACAGAAGGTGGAACAGAGGAACAAAAAAGACGTGAGACATTTAGAAAACAAATAACAAATGGCACTCATGGATCTCAGAAATCTGAATTTATACCCAGGGGAAAAAGAATTGGATCGACACCACTGATGGAGAAGAACCATTGAAAGTAGACCTTTTTCACCAAAAGCAACTTTTCTGACTTTGAAAAAGTCAACCCTCAGACAAAAAATAAAGAGCAATGTGGCAGTGGGCAGAATTGAGCAGTTTTGCCTAGAACATCTGGCTCTCTTCTGCTCAGTCAAAAGTCCTGAGGATGAAGAAGTTAGTGCATGAGACCAAGCCCCCTCAACCCAATGAATCCGACTGTGGCTGACACTGCCCCAAACAGGGTCACTGGGGATATTTTAACAGTGACATTTAGCCATTCCCTGAGGGCATCCCCAGTCACCACGGAGAAGCTCTTTTCCCTGGAAGCTGCCAAAATGCTTCAGATTTCGTCTCCCTAGAAGAGACTGGTGAGCCCAGGCAGTTGGTGGCAAAGAACAGCCAGATTGTCTCCCCAACACAACTGGGGCATGGATGGGCCGCCACCTCCTTGCCCTTGTGGCTCTGCCCAATCAGCCAGAACACCAAACCGCTGGATTAGTGGAGACAGTGCTGGACGGACGTCCCTTATCCTTTCGGTTAACTTCTCTGGGTTTCTCCTACAGGTCAGTGATTACGCTGAGAACACTTATTACAGCAAGTTCATGTCCCACTTGGATGAGATCAGATATGCAGGTAAGGGAAGCCAACAGCAACTGCAGGAGGGCAGAGGAATGAGCATGAGTGTGAGGTGGGACAGGAGGGCAGGGAAGGCTGACGCTGGTGAGGAAGGTGGCAGATAAGCCCTGCTGGGAGAGCACACCCCTCTCTGCGCAAGGTCTCTTGTTCCAGCAATTTCTGCTGTTGGCTCAGGCTGTGAACACCTCTGAGAAACCTGTTTGTAAACTCGACCTGTTGATTCCCACGACTGGAACTTCTGGATGGCCAGAGTTCCACTAACTAGGGATAGCTTCACTTAAGTGACTCTCACCTCTGGCCCCAGCTAGCAGTGACGATCCTGGTCACTAGAGAGAGACGTTCTTAGCTTCAACTGAGAAGACTCTCAAGAGTGAAGCCTCTCATCAACGCGCCTAGACACGAAGACACAGGGGGCTGTTCTCCCATCTCTCTGCTCTCAGAAGGCAGAGTTCTTGTCTGAGTGATTGGCCACTCCCATGGCCAACCCTTGACCTTGAGCACCATCCACGTCAACTGTGAAGCCTTGGTTTTGTGCATCCCCCTCTGGCCACATCTCCCAGACTCCAGCTCCCTGACATCAGTCCTCGCCCCTCCAGCAATTCTCCCCACCTCCATTCAATGGCCTCCACGTTCTCACTACTAGTCATGCCTCAGGCCTTTCATCTCTCTTTACCTAGCTGAGGTTCCACTGGCCATCATTCTGACACTTCCAGGCAAATGACCTCCATGCCCTTGCCCCTCCATCCTTCCCCAAGCTCACCTGGCAAAGCCCCAGACTGACTCCCACCTACTCAGAGCCTGTAACCACATGACTGAATGTGGCTGGACAGAAACACACAGACATCTAACTGGTATTATTTTTATTCATAGCTACAAATATGAATAGGTACTAACACTGCCCAGAAATCCTGAAAAGCAAACTCTGGGCGTTTGCTTTTCTCCTCTCCGAAATAACTACTTCACACTTTTGCCTGTCTCCTGAAGCCCCTGCGCCTTGGCCCCAGCTTCGCCCTTGGAGCAGATGCCTTGCCTCCTACTTCATTGAGAAGGTAGTCGGAAACTCACTCATCTTCTGAACCCACCTGCACCTGACCAAACTCCATGTCCCTTCCTCTGTTACAATGGGTGAAATATCTCTGCTCTTGTCCAAGACCACCGTCCATGTGAGCACCGACCCCTACGTCCCCATTCTCAGGGCCTGGTCTCCTGCTGGTCTCTCCCCTCTCTCTTGCACCATTGATTTCTTACCCTTCATCAGATCATGCTGCTCAGCACACAATTCTGTGCTCTAACACCTCCCACCTCAAAAGACAAATGAAAGTATCTCTTGACCCCACCATTACCCCATCTTCCACCGCATTTTCAGCTCCCCTTGAAAGAATTGTCTAACAGTCCTGTTCTCTTTTCTCACTCACCCTAAGCCGGTCCCACCACTCCATTGAGCCTTCAAGGTCACCCCTGTTGTCAGATCTCCTGGCCACTTTTCTCCTCTTCTCTTAACTGACCTTGAAACATCCATCCATTACAGCCGGCTCTCATTCTCGCCACGCCTCAACCCCTGCCCCCACCCCCAGCTCTGCTCTCTTCTTCTGGCTCCTGCCCTAATGTTGGAGAGTGCCACGACTCTGTCTTCCCTCATTCAGTCCCACGGCCTGAAGTGCCATTCCTAGACTGTGGAACCCAAAAATCTAAATCTGGTCCTCCATGTAGGGATGGCATCGGGCAGGACAGGTGAGGCAAAGTAGACGTAAGAACCGCCTGGGTAATTTACTGACCATGAACAAAGCCAGCGGGAGAAACCACAGGCCTGTGGTATAACTAAGACATTTCCTCAAATTCACCAACCTCAGACATTTTATTTCTACAACTGACCCTGACGCATTTCCTTCTCCACTTCAATAAATTCCTCTTCTGATCAATCCTGCCCACAACACTAGCCTCTCTCTCTGAACTTGGGATTTGTTTATCTAACTGTTGACTTGATATTGCCATATGGATATAAAACTTTACATGGCCTATGCTTAACTATATTCCCTTCCCCTTCCAGGCTTGTCACTAAACTGACTTTCTCATCCCTGCAACAATTGTCATTATCCATCCCATTGTTTAAGCCAAAAATCCTGGAATCATTCTTTTTTTTTTTTTTTTTTTTAAAGATTTTATTTATTTATTTTCTTTCCCCCCAAAGCCCCAGTAGATAGTTGTATGTCATAGCTGCACATCCTTCTAGTTGCTGTATGTGGGACTCGGCCTCAGCATGGCCGGAGAAGCGGCGCCTCGGTGCACACCCGGGATCCGAACCCGGGCCACCAGCAGCAGAGCGCAAGCACTTAACCGCCAAGCCACGGGGCCGGCCCCCTGGAATCATTCTTGATTTTCTCTTTCCATTACCCCCCACATCCAAACCATCAGCAGCTCCTGTTGTTTTCCCTCCCTGCATTCATTTCTTTTGGATATATACCTAGAAATGGAATTGCTGGATATATGGTCATTCTATGTTTAATTTTTTAAGGCACCACCATATTGTTTTCCAGCGGCTGCACCATGGTTCTGGAATTCTTGACTCACTTAAATATATTAGAGTTATGAAATTAAATCTATGCAATGGAGCCCTTTAGAAGGTTATACCTTGAAATCTTTCCAATGACAATAAAGCTTAGAAATCTTTTGCCTACTTATGGGATTATACACTACTAGACTTCATGGCCTTGGTTAAACAAGCGTATTTAAATTCATATCAAAATGATGTCCTCTTTGCCATTAAAAAATGCAAAAGCACTCAGGGAAAGTGAAGCAAAATTCAACTCCACTCCACGTTGCTTTGACAGTCTCATGATCTGCTCAGGGGCCCAGTGTCATTGATGTGAACAAAAGAGGAATTCTCTAGATGCAGCAATGGGTGCAGGTGCTGTGGAGGCTTCAGACACCCTGCAGAAGTCCCTCTCCCTACACCCCACCTGTGGCTGAGCTTGGTTCCCAACGGGCGTGGCAGGAGGAGCTCAGGAAAGGAGGCCTGCCCCTGGACCCCCACTTGGTTCTGATTCTGCCTTTTTAATCTTGATCCAACCATTTCTAAATCAGCCCAAACCAAAGAATTTTGTTCTTTCTTTGAGAGCACTTACACAGAAGCCCCTAGGAGTCATGATTAATTCTTTTATTTATCATAAAACATATACTCTGCCTAACAATGATGATGATGATGATGACACTTACACTCATGAGTATTTCCTCTGTGCCAATTCGAAGCCAGCACTTTATAAACACATCCACCTGTACCCTTACAGCAATCCTACTGAATATTCCCTTCTTACAGATGAGGGAGCAGCCTTAGAGGAGTGAGCACTCAGCCAGGGCCACTCAGCCAGCAGGAGGTATCTGAGTGGGTCTCTCCCCAAAGTCTTTGCTCTTAACCCCTTCCAGGGAGCAGCAAACGGGAGAATTGTTTCCCAATGATCAGCTTCTATGTTCTTCTGCTTAAATCAGGAGATTCGAACTGGTGGTGAGGTCTGAGCCTGAGCTGTCCTCCCAAGGGGCAGCAGTGGTCCCTAACATCCTTTATCTCTTGTCCGCTCCATTAGGACAAAGCACAGTTCTGAGTGGTCTTGACGTTAAGGACATGCTACCTACGAACCTCCACTACTACTACAGCTACCAGGGGTCACTCACCACTCCTCCCTGTACCGAGAATGTCCACTGGTTCGTGCTGGCAGATCATGTCAAGCTCTCCGAGGCACAGGTAATGCATGGCCTCGCTTCACCAAAGTCTCCCCTTTCAACTGCTTGGTTAACAAGAGTGCTCCCCCAAATCTCACCTAATGCCAGCACCTGGGCTCCTATGGTGTTTTCCATGCACAAGGCTGCTGTGCCTCACCTATATTGCCATGGGCAATCCTACTAGTGCTGTGGCAGAGATAGGAAAACAGGCATCAGGGAATGCAAGAAACTTACAGTTGATGCAGCAAAAGGATTAGAGCCTGATCCAAGTCTTAGGAGAAAGGTTGCATAGTGAAGGTAAATATTTACTGAGTACTGCTCTCGCCAGGCACTTTTCTAGGCCTTTGACATACAAAATCCCTGTCCTCCTGGAGCTTACGTTTTAACTTTAGACATGGCTTTATGCAAGAAGAGTGGCTTCATATTTAGCTCTTACCATGCTAAAATGCCTGTAGGTTGGAGGAGAAGAGCTGTATCAGTCATCTTTCGTCTTCCAGCATACCACAAGCACATAATATATGTTTGTTGAGTTGAATGAAGGACAAATGTTACTGGGGTTGCAAAGCAAAGCTGACATTTCCTTTTGGGTGATGTTCTTCCTCAGAAACGAATATTTCTTTTTCTTAAACTTTTCATTTCCCTACTCCAGGAAAAGTTGGAAAGACCCTTATTCAAGGATACCCACACATAAAAATGTTGCCAACCAGGTTGGAAGTGTCCCTAGATGCCTAACAGAAGCAAATGTAAATTACCTCTGAAAAAACGCACCTTAAATCCAGATCTAGGAGAATTTCCACAAATAAAGTTACCTGAAATGAGCTCAATTAAAGAAAAAAATGGAGAAAGACACTACCTATGAGTGAGTGTCAGCAGAATCAGACCTACAAAATTTCAGATAGTGGAATTATAAGACAATTAATATAAAATAAGAATGTTTAATATGTATAAAGAAAGTATAAAATGTATAATTTAACATATTTAGTATGTTTAATATGAGTTTTAAATATGAGGAAAGAACAAAAATGATGGGGCCTGCCTGGTGGTGTAGTGGTTAAGTTCACGTGCTCTGCTTCAGTGGCCTGGGCTTCACTGGTTCACATCCTGGGCGTGGACCTATGCACCGTTCATCAAGCCATTCTGAGGCGGCATCCCACATAGAGCAACTAGAAGGATGTACAACTATGACATACAACTATCTACTGGGGCTTTGGGGAGAAAAAAGGAAAGAGGAAGAAGATTGGCAACAAGTGTTAGCTCAGGGCCAATCTTCCTCAAAAGAAAAAGGTATAAAAATGACCAAGTAGACTTGATTTCTAGAAATGAAAAGATAGTAACAGAAATTAAAAACCCAATGAATGGGTTTAATAGCATGTTAGACACAGTTCAAGAAAGAATTAGGAAACTGGAAGACAGAGCTGAGAAATTATCTAAAATGCAGCACACACAGAAAAGGAGATGGAAATATGAAAAAGAAGTATAGAGACAGAGAAAATATACTGGAAAGGTCTAACAAATGTCTATTTGAAATTCTAGAAGGAGAAGGGAGGTAGCATAGACAAGAGGCATGATTTGAGAAATATTGGCTGACAATTTTCCAAAGGAGATAAAAGATACCAAGTCATATATTCAGGAAGCCCAATGAGTCAATGTTAAGTACAAAGAAACCTACACTAAACACATCACAGTGAAACCACAAAATATCAAAGACAAAGAAAAGATTTAAAAGTCAGCCAGAGAGAAAAAGCAGATTATCATGAAAGGAGTACTATTAGACTGAGAGTTGATTCAACACAGCAACAATAAATGTCAGAAAGCAGTGGAATCTTATTTTCATATTCCATGATTCTCATTCATTTCATGCTGAGAGAAATGAATAGCCAAGCTAGAATTGTCCATGCAGCAAAAATGTCTTTTAAGGATGTAGACAAAATATAGACATTTTCAGGAAAACAAAAATCGAGTTTGCCACTTGATATATCTCTGTTGACTTCTTTCTCTCCTTTATACTGGTAACCAAATACTCATAGGGAAAGATTGAAAGAGATTGTTGGAAGAATGAATAGTGGATAAATGGATGCTATGCCTGCCATATAGCACCTAGAACCTCCTTTGGACTTGAGATCTTCTCACAACTGCTTTATCAGGGTTATATAAACCCAAGCTCTAGTTCAATTGCTAACTAAACTCTTTTAAATCACTCGGTGTCTCTTCTCTTCCATAATTCACTTCATGTTGCCTGCAGATTTTGAAGCTAGAGAACTCTTTATTGGATCATCAGAACAAGACCCTCAACAATGGTTACCGCAGTACCCAGGCCCTGAATGACAGAGTGGTGGAAACCAACTTCATGTATCTCTCTAATCAGGGTGAGTGAGATCAACTCTTGTTTATTCTTTGCAATTTGTTGACTTCTGTTTTCTTCCTTCTCTGGGTGGACCCATCTCTTCTGGCAATAGTAAGGGAAGGACAGTCATCTAAATAGCAGGAGGCTCAGATGGGCCAATCTGTACAGGGCATGGGCAAAGGGGATGACTCATTCTCTCAGTCTATGCAGTGATGTAGAACAGAGGAGACAATGAGGAAGAGTAGCTACAGGATTTATTACCTACCTGGTCTTGGCCAGAGACAGTAGGAGAAGCAAGATGGCAGCAACATCCAGATGCTTCATAAGAGTGTAGGCTCAAGGTAACCTCATCAAACCCAACTCAGATTATTTCCTCCACACCTTTATCTTGGTCTGTTTTACAAGCCCATCCCCAACTCTTCCTATACGTTCCCCCAAGGTGGGGTTAACTAGACCATACATTGTTTACTGGATTTTCTTGGGGATCAAGCCCCAGATACCAGGATACTGGAAGTAGGCATAAGCAGTCCAGCTTCTGCCGGACCCTCTAATCCATTGGGTCAGGCTTCAACTATGTTCTTGGCTCACCTCATTTCTGTGGTTGCAAGAATATAAATATCCTGCAATCTTCCCATCTTTATTTTGTCTGCTTCTCTGTAAAGCTGTGGTGAACTATACACATTCCCTGAATTCATTGTCTTTACAATCTGTTTCTATTAACCATTCCTGATACCTTTACATCCTCTAATACAATAGAATTGGTCTCCAATCAATATTACCCTGCCTTTATAAGTATCTTTCCAGATTTTAAATCTCCGTACATACACACACCCCCCTCCCAATGAAGGCCTGTTTGTGATTTTCTCCTCATCGTTCCTTCCTGGTTCCTTTATTGTTATTCCTTGCATCAGTTTGCGCCTCCAATACAATGCTAACAGAGGAAAAATGACACCAGCTAGAATTCCCATTTCCTCATATTATACTATATATGATATTAAGAGTAACAATTCCTTTTTCCAAAGGGTGACATCCTCCTAAGCAGGTCCAATTGCTCAGAGGCTGACCAAAGGGAGCTTAGACCCACTGATCAGTCTCCTTGTTCTAATTTTGCCATGTTCTCTGGTTTTCCCTATAAAATTTTACACTATTCTTGCAAGAGGCACAAACAGATTGTATAGTTTCCCATATATCACATGCTCTTTCCATGGGGGTGGCCATTCCAGTTTATCCTCATGAGGGAGCTCAGATGGTCTAGATACCCACTTCTTAGACCAAGATGTGCCACGTAGTGGTTTGCCTGTGTGTCCGTTGTGGCCCCCTCTTCTGAGACTCACTGTTCAGAATTATCACTTCAACAGCCGGTAGGTAGTAAGAGGGCTTCTTCCCTCACCTCCAACTGGGGATCCACATCGCGGCCTGCCTTTGCTGACAATAGAACAGACAACTGGGCATCATCTTGCTCCACCTGCCCTCAGGCCCAGACTTCTACGTAGCAGCGATTGTCTCCAGTCAACCCAGTTGTATGGCCCACGTGATCTCTAATAACTCTATAGAATTCCACCCCAGATGGGTTAATGTGATCAAACCCCCAATGAGGAATGACCCGAGAAACCAAAGTCAGTTGGAAAAACAAGACCTCTTACAATTTATTTTATAGAAAATACCCCCTAAGGTAAGGGCTACTGAGCATCGCATGAGAAACCAAGGTTCAAGGGTGGAACCACTTTCGACACATCATCCCTGGAGTTCTGGCAACTTTCAAGCCTAAATTCAGACATAGCTATGATGCTTGAAGCCAATGGGATGGGAACATGGAGGGCATCCTAAGGAATCAAAAATACTTCCCTAAAGGACATGTGTGGAGAGTGGCATCTGGCTGTCCCACAGAATCTGTTTTCATGAGGACCTCCAGAGTTCTGACCTTTTCCTATTAACTCTTCTTTTTATAGAGTCTGTTCTAGGCTCTGAACTCCAGTCTTACCTAAGCAAGATCAACAATAACCTTGAATACTTTAGAAGATTAATTGAACAGAAGAAGGGGAAGAGAAAGAGCAAATATTAACGAGCTTGAAGCATGAGCTAGGACAGGAAGTGGCTGCCCCCCTGAGCCCACGCCCTGCCCTGTCGCCAATAAATCCTTTGTCCAGATGGCTATACTCCCCCTGAAGCACCTGTTGAATTTCTGACTACACCAAGGGGAAACCATCATCCATGAAAGGAAGTGAGAGGGTTTAAATGTATGAGAAGAGAAATGTATGAGTTAGAAAACACCAGTGGAAATTGACTGGAATAGAAATTTAAAAGGCTAACTCCTCTCCTTTTTTTTCTTTTTTTTGTAAGGCAGATCAGCCCTGAGCTAACATCCATGCTAATCCTCCTCTTTTTGCTGAGGAAGACCGGCTCTGAGCTAACATCTATTGCCAATCCTCCTTCTTTTTTTTTCCCCAAAGTCCCAGTAGATAGTTGTATGTCATAGTTGCACATTCTTCTAGTTGCTGTATGTGGGACGCAGCCTCAGCATGGCCGGAGAAGCAGTGCGTCGGTGCGCGCCCAAGATCCGAACCCTGGGCCAGCAGTAGTGGAGCGTGTGCACTTAACCGCTAAGCCACGGGGCCAGCCCAAACTCCTCTCCTTTCAAATCATGCACGTTGATCTTCCTAAACTATAAACCAGCCCAAACTTCCCTGTAGCATTTAGATGTAATGAACAACTTTGGAAATTTGTCATTAAAATTTTTTTCTGAGCCAGCCCTGTCGGCCTAGCGGTTAAAGTTCAGCGCACTCTGCTCTGGTGGCCGAGGTTCAGTTCCTGGACGCGGACCACAGCACTCATCTGTCAGTAGCCATGCTTTGGTGGCGGCTCACATAGAAGAACTAAAAGGACTCACAACCAGAATACACAACTGTGTACTGGGGCTTTGGGAAGGGGGAAAAAAAAGAGGAAGATTGGCAACAGAAAAAAAAAATTTCTCTTTTCTATTCCTTTGTCCCACTTAACATCCCTTTTTTTTGCCCTACCCCAAGGGACCCAAGTGATGGGATAGAGATCAAAGTGGGAGGGATTTCCAGGACCAAGATTAAGGAAAAGGAAAGAGATTCTTTCATCGGGAACTTGTTGATGGGGAGGTTTGCAGCAGTGATCATGTCCTGTGAGTGCAGGGAGAGGTGGCGGGGGGAGAGCTCCCTGCAGATCTCCTATGGTGCCTGGGCCTTCTTGCCACCAGACCTGGGATCAAGTGCTAGTTCTACCACTGACTAGCCGTGTGGGATAGTAAAATAATCTGTCTTTTAGAGCTGTGGTTTGATTAAATGAGACAAGGTTGGGGGCCGGCCGGGTGGCGTAGTGGTTAATTCCTGAGCTCTGCTTTGCCAGCCTGGAGTTCACGGGTTTGAATCCCAGGGGCGGACCTACGCACCGCTTGTCAGGCCATGCTGTGGCAGGCGTCCCACATATAAAGTAGAGGAAGATGGGCACGGATGTTAGCCTGGCGCCCATACTAGGCTAAGTACTGGGGTACAGAGATGGGGAGGGACGTTTCCTATGCTTGGAGCTCAAGTCTGGTGAACAGGACAGACATTTAAATAACCAATCTCCCTCCCATGGGGAGAACAACTGTGTAAAACCTCCACAGAGGAGCTGTGCTGGCCTGGGTTTGGAAGGCTGCGAAGGAGCTCACCTGGCGAGCCAAGCGGGGGAGGGGCGGGGCACTGCAGGCTGAGGGAATAGCACGCGCTGATGGGAAAACAGGGGACGTGAGAGTAGGTTGGTGTGACCAGAGGACCAGGTTCAAGGGAGCTGGCAGGGAAAGGGGGGTGCAGCTGGGGGAGGTTAGGCTTCCCTGGTACCTTCTGTGCCACTAAAGGGCGTTGCATTTCATCTGTGGGTGACGGGCAGCTCTGGCAGGGTTTTCAGCAAGGTAACGACATGATGACATAAGATTCATTCTTTCAACCAGAAATGAGAGTCTATGATGAACTGGAGATGACACAGGGAACAGTACAGCCAAGCAGCTTACATTCCTCTGGGGCGAGAGACACTATAAACAAGTAAACGAAGACGTAAACAAACAGGATTACACACGCCTGTTTGTGCTTGCAAACAAGGGGAAAAGGAACCAAAAATTAACTGTAATAGTTACCTAAAAGAAGGAGACAGGGGAAAGGGTGGAGGATGGGGCTGGAAGATGGACTTATCTGGATACACCCAGTTTGGCAGTTTTGACTTTGGAACCTTGGATTTCACATAATTATAAAACAAAATTAAAAGATTTTTAAAAAATCCCTAAAATTTAGCTTAAAATGCAAAAACATAGTAAAATGATTGAACAATTGTACATTGAGTTGGGAGCATACACAGACAGAGATGAACGTTTCCAAGTTATTTTATTTTTTTATTTTATTTTTTTTCCCCAAAGCCCCAGTAGATAGTTGTATGTCATAGTTGCACAGCCTTCTAGCTGCTGTATGTGGGACGCAGCCTCAGCATGGCCGGAGAAGTGGTGCGTCGGTGTGTGCCCGGGATCCGAACCCGGGCCACCAGTAGCGGAGCGCGCGCACTTAACTGCTAAGCCACGGGGCCGGCCCCCAAGTTATTTTAAAAGCAGTATTTTTACTCACACCTAGTGGGTATGTCCTAAGCACAAGAAGAAGTGCAAAGAAATCCTCAACCATCCACAGGAGTCTTGTCAGGAATAATACTGGTATCGTTATTTTGAAGCTATGTGTGTGTAATTACTATATATTACTTATATACATAAATAATTATGCTTATGTCCTTAGTAAGAAGATTTTCAGCATAAGAAAACAGAGATCCAAATATAACATCAAAAAAGCTAAGTAAAAACCCTATAATCGTAACTCTGAACTAGAAATATCAGTATGAATTTATAAATTCTTTTTCTATTTCTAAGAAGCACATGTTTCCTAGCTCTGTCCACGTTTCAGGTCTGGAAACAACGGTGCCCCCGAGGCAATGAACACCCTTCTACCCAGACAGCAGTCTCTCAATTCTCCTTCCCGCCATGAGGAAGCAGGGCTCCTAGGAGAAGTGGCCCCTTCCAGATCTGGGGCAAGGACATACAAGTGAGCCTGGGATATCTTTTTAGGCCAGAAAACAAGAAATCCATCTAAGACCACTGGAGTCATGCCCCAAAGACACAGGGGCCATCTTGAAGGGGCTCCTGGGACAGCTTAAGCATCGAAAAGAATAATATCAGAAAGAGAATAATAACTGCAGTAGATTGAAACATATCAAATACATAGAAATACATGAGCTCATAATGGTACTAAAAAAATGAAAGAAAGCTCATTGGTCAACTTGGGAAGTTGCTAGGGAAACCATTTACTATTTTGTAAATTGGCAAATAGAAGGGAGAATCAAGTACGTGTCCTGCCTTTCCTGTCCAAACTGTATTTCAGAGTAATCTCACAGTTGGTCGTATTAGTTTCCTGGGGCTGGTGTAGCAACTCACCACAAACTGCGTGGCTTAAAGGAAGAGAAATGTATTTTTTCACAGCGCTGGAAGCCATAAATCTGAAATCAAGGTGTTGGCAGGGCTAGGCTCCCTCCAAATCCTCCTTCCTGGCTTCTTCCAGCTTCTGGTGGCTCCAGGCCTCCCCGGGCTTGTGGCTGCATCGCTCCAATCTTTGGAGTGGATGGAGTGGAGTGGAAAATTCTCTCTTTTCACATCACCTTCTCCTCTTCATGTCTGTGTCCACCTGTCTTTCTCTTATAAACTTGTCATTGGATTTAGGGCTCACCCAGTTAATCCAGGACAATCTCATCTCAAAAATCCTTAACTTAATTACATCTGCAAAGATCCTTTTTTCAAATAAGTTCACATTCACAGTTTCTTGGTGGACATATCTTTTTGGAGGGCCGCCATTCTACCCACTACAGCTGGTGAACGGAAGTTCTTTTTGGAGCAATTCTAGCTAGTAAATTCAAAAGGAGTCATTTTGCAACCTAAATGAAATAATGGACCCAGATGATGATCATCATTGGTTCCTAACACCAGTAGACGGAAGATCAATGGGGTCTTTACACAATGGGCGGACTAGGCTGACCACCTTTAGAGACACTAAGCAGTGCTAACATTCCTTGACGTGGAACAAGCTGGCATTTTGTGCCTTTTGGAGTACAAAGCACTGCCAATGAAGACTAGTTGCAAAAGAGAATTTTTTTCTGAACCTGAATCTAATTAAGCCTTTAGCTCCAATGAGTAGTTTTCAGGAAATTCAAGGGATAGAAGAACACGTATTCACCAAGAAGATATAAGCTCCGTGAGGAGTCTTTTTCACAATGAACTCCAAGTACCTAAGAAGAGTATTCGGCACATAAAGGTGCTCAATGAGAATGTGCTGAATGAATGAATCCAGATTGCATAAAGAAATTCTAAAAATCAACAAGAACAGAACTAGCAACCCAAGAGAAAAATCATAGAAAGGGAAGAACTGATGATTTACAGGAGAGTAAATGGGAATGATCAATAGATAAGTGAAAAGTCTCCATTTCACTGGCAATTAAGATCATGAAAATTAAAACCACAATGAGATACCATTTCACACCCCCAAATCGGCAAAAACTTTGAAGTCTGACAATACCAAGCACTGCTGAGGATGTGGAGCAGTCTTCCTGCACTGCCAGTGGGAACGTCAGCTGCACCAACCACTGTGAACACCGTTGGGTAACACTGCGTAGATGGGACACGTGCACATCCCACAACCCAGAAACTCCACTCCCAGCTACTTACCTTAGAGAAACTTGCATACATGCATGACACTAAAACGTTCACAACAGCATTACTTGTAATTGAGAACATGGGAAACAACCTAAATGTCTGTCGAGAGGATAATGTAAAATAACCATACTAGGTAGTAGTAAAGAATGAAGGAACCAGAACTACACAAACCCACATGGTAGAAATTCACAAGTATGATGTTGAGCATCGAAAGCAAGCAGCAGGAAAAATCTATAGTGTAATATTATTTTAAAAAGCTGAATAGTAACAAAATAATTATAAAAATATATAGTTTTAAGGTGGCATAATACATAGTAAAGGTGATTCACAAGAAAAACCAAATTCAAAATAGTGGCTGCATCTATTACAGGGAGAGAGGGAGGGGAGCGCAGGGCCTTCGATTGTGTCTGTGATGACTTACTGCTTAAAGTGGGTGCTGGATCCATAGGTGTTCATTACTTTTTAGTAATTACTATTTATTTCTTTAAAAATATGAATCTGATTGCATCACTTTCATACTCAAAACCCTCCAATGGTTTTCCATTGCACTGTGAATACATTTCAGAGCCCTAA